ATTAGTTTGTGTCTAATACCACCTTTGCCCAAGAAATATTTGTCCACAGAACTCAATGGAGTTTTAAAACTGGGAGATTGTAGGTAGAGTGCCCTGGGCTCAATCCCCAGCACTGAAGACAAAAAGTGACTCTGATCTGCTAAAGTTGCTGTGAAGTTATTTTAAAGTTCCTTTGAAAGTATTATATCTTTAGTGGCCATGACAGGGCACACCTGTGAGCCTAGCATTGAGAGACTGAGACAAGGGGGAAGTGTGAGTTCAAGGCCAGCCCAGGTTATATACCAAGACTGTCTTAAATAAGCAAACAAAATCAAAGTCCATACAATCAAGTCAATGTAAATCCAATTGACTTAGGTCTCTTGGCCATCTTCATAAACAGATTGCTCAAGCGTAGAAATCAGGCAGGAAGATTGCTGGGAGCTGACAATGTTCCCATGCAGAGCCACATAGAAACAGCTTTCTGTCCCTAAAAAACTTAGTTTTCCTGACTGTTTCCTGACTGTTCTCCACTGTTACAATCCTTTGGGGTCCGGCTGCTAAGGAAGTGTTGAGCTAGGCTGGACATAGAATAACTTAAAGAGATCTTTAGATTACTTTGAAGACTCTTGGCTTAATGAATTGAGTGACCAAAGTTAAAATTTGGTTTAGAGTTCCTGACTGGTACAATGGATGACTTATTTTTATTATTCAGACTTTTCTGCCTTGAGCCCTCTGGCCCAACTAACCAGATGCAGCCAGAATCGACTGATACTATACATACTGTGTTGTAAGTGAGGGTCATCTTTGCTCATCCCACCCCCTAAGGCCAGATAGTCTCCCCTGGACCACTGAGAACCCTTCCAGAACCAGCTCCCCCATATAGGGGCCTTGACCTGCCTGTCCAGGGGGAAGAGAAGCTGAAATATCTGCCATCGTCCCCTGCCAGCCTTATCTTAGAATTGGAATCCAAGGCCCATACATTATCCTGGGCCAGTCATGTTTATTTCCTCTGCTATGTCAGACAAGGCAAACTAAGGAAACTGAGGTTCAGAAAAGGTTATCTGAAAAGACAGAATGCACCTTTGTGCGTGCATGTAGATTGCACGGCATGTTGCATCTGCTGTATACTGGTGTACAAATGTCACATGACCTCAATCATTTTATGATACATACAGCGGGAAACCCCTTTTCTATTCCTCTCTTTAGCTCAGTCACCGTGACAACCTTGTGAATCAGGCTCCAGCCTCCAGCCCCTCAAAAGCTCTTATTTATTAGTTTTAAAATGTAACATTGGTACCCAAGACTAGTTACTAAGTGTCTGATATCAATGTATGAATCTCACTTCGTAGTTAGGTACATATCATGGAATCCAACACAGATCCTCTTGGATAAAGATCTTGCTGGCTTCTTCAAATCGTGTCTTGGAAAAATTATTGTTGTGTCCGGGCAGATAAGGCACTCTTGATCTCCACTTAGAATATTTTCAATCATATTTTGAATAATGGAGGATACAATAAAATTTGCTTTTCTTCTCCTTGCCATGATACCCTTCTTCAATCTAATGCCCCACTAGATTTTGCCACAGCACTAAGAATATTTCTGGAAAAAATGTCCCTATTTTCCACATATCCCTCACATCCCTCACATTCCTACAGGACCTCTGTCTCTTGCAGGGGCAGGGACTGGAGGGGCAGGTCTGACAGGGTGGATGCTGGTGAGAGAGGCTGTCTCTCCCTCTCCAGCCATCAATTCTGACTGCATTCAAACATTTTCAATATGTGGACTCCTTGATAACTTCCACTGTATGGAAACAAAATGGGAAATGATTATTGGCACAAAAGGGGGAGGCCGTAAATCTTCAAATCAGATACAGAACAGATTGGAACAATATGGGCTCTTCAAGGTTGCCATGATAATGTACCTAATAACTCTCCCTGGGCAAAAAGGCAATCTGCTTTCAATCAATCTTGCTTTTTTCCTGAGCAAAAATACCAATTATGTTGAAGGAAGATTTTTTTCTTCCTTTTTTGATAAGGACTGTTCTCCATCCCAGAAATCATGCTATAGCTAAAAGATATATATTTTTTCAATTGTCTAGAATAGTATTGGACAGCTAGCACCAAATGAAAAAAAAGTCAATCCTTTTATTTTCTTCTCTCCTTTCCTGCCAGCATTTGTCTACTTCTTAAGAGAAGTGAAAGCTAATTAAAGGCTTAAGGGGTAATATTGATTGCATTGGAATATATTTTATATGTACCCGGCACATTTTCAAGTAAGAGAACCCTGAGTTTTTTTCCCAAGGCTGAATAAATCAGCTGGGTGAGCATTTGATTCAAGGGTGAGGTACAGGGAAGGAGGGAGCTCATCTCCTCCCCATCTACTTCACACTTATCTGTCTTAGGATGAATGATTTCGGAAGAGCAAGTGGGGTTGCTGGCAGACATTCATTCACTTCTTTGTGTGCTGGATAAGAAGAATGAATCTTCCAGCATTGTTCCAGACCTATCATGGGCATGCACCCAGCTTTGAATAATAACTAGAAATATGTTAGTGTAGATCCTTGAACTTTTCAATGCCTGGTCCAGGAGGCTAGCTGGGCGTCAGTAACCTCTCAAGTCTTCGTGCATTAGATAGGAATAAGTAGCTTTCTCAGGATCCTGCACATCCTTGGTAACAGAGGGAAAACCATGTCTGACTTACTTTCCTTCAAGCCACGTTGTCGACTGTGAGGACAGCTGTCAGTGAAATTCATGTTAACATTGTTGGAAGTCTGCAGGGAAAATGTCTTCAGGGAGTGACACCAGGCAACTCCATTGTCATTTGTGGTGAGGTCAAGTGATGAGAATTTCCACAAGCAACATGGTGAAGATTTGATATAATAGAAAATGTATACAAGCACTCCAGGGCTGGTGGCTCATACCTGCAATCGTAGGAGGATTGCTTGCCATTTTAGCCCAACTCAGATAGGACAGCCTGCAAGATTCCATCTCAGTGGAAAGAACTGAGATGTGGTTCTGCATGCCTGTCAGTCCAGCTACCACCGGGAAATTTAAAAAAAAAAAGGCAGTCATGGTCCAGGAACACACTTGAGAAGGAAGTAAGGCACTTTTTCAAAAATAACCAGCACAAAATGGGCTGGAGACATAACCCAGTGGTAGAGCACCTGCCTACCGAATGTAAGACTTTGTGTTCAAGCCCCAGTATCACCAAAAATACTTATCTAATCTAAGTGTTGAGATTATATCACATCCTCTGTTGAAACAGTGTATTCTATAGTCTTCTACTAAGGGAGAAGTCAATGATATAGGCTTTAGGTGTGAAGTTTGGATAAGTAGCCAGGGAACCTTTGCTAATGTAGCAGATGCAGGCTAAGAGCAAAGTGACCAGGTTATGATATCTTTATGACATCTTTTGTGGAGTATCCCATTTATGGCCACTGCTTCCTTCGCCCTCGTGGCCATCTCTTTCCTGATCATTAAGTGCACCACTATAACAATAACAGTTCATAATGGTGATGTTAACTACCTCATGCATATTATTGATTTGCTCTTTATTCTGTACCCTCTCTCTCTCACCAATGAGTTTACTGCATTATTTTCACGTACTCAGTCAGGCACCAAATTACCTACCATGAAAGGGAAGACTCTTGTAATGGCATCTCATGGGATATCACCTAAGCCATCATCACTGCCACTATGAGCTGCCTCCAGCCAATGAGCTTTGTGCACAGAGCAATTATGAAGTGCAAGGGATCTGGCCCTTCTAGGTCTTAATCAGAAAATGGCTTCACTCTACAAAATCGGCTCCAGTTGCAAAGTAGAGCTAGAAATCCACCCTGTGTCACTACAGACTGAGGGGCCTAAGGAGATGAGTTAAGCCTTTTGCTCTATACAGTGGCTTTTGTTAGAAAGCTAGTATTGTTGCTAACTCCATAGCTAAATCTCAGCTTTTGTCTCAGAGGGCATTCTTGCATCCAACTGCTTTCTCCTAATTGGGCATCAGGAGGCAAATATAAATGGGCACAGGACAGCCTGGTACTGAGTTCACTTTAGTTCAGGAGGAGAAGGATGGTAAAGGAACTATTCATCTCAATAGTTCTGGACAAGAGGTTCATCTCCCCTGGAGACAGAAGTCTGCACCGTCCCAGAACAAAGCTAGCATTTCCAGCCTCCTGTCTTCCTAGCTTTTTCCTGCCTCTCAGGGGATCTGTTTAGCTCTCAAGGAAAATCCCAAGCACCCTCATTCAGTAGCCTCTGGAGCCAACTCAACCAGCAGCACCATCTCTGATTCTGTAGGCATCCCATACCCATTTAGCCCTGAGTAATGCTCACTTACTGTAAAGTGTTACATGGCCCCATTGTCAGAGAAGTTATGGTGGAAAAATGCAAAAATTTCCTTTTTACTGCTTATGGCCAGCCGAGCCTATAACTTGTCAAGCTGCACATTAGCTACCCTGATAAAAGCCCGCTTTCTTACACACAAAATCATCGTTTCAGCAAGATTTGTTATCTCATTACCTGATAAGCTCTATGTCATAAACCAAGACTCATACAGTAAATCTCCCAGGAGGACGCTTTGTGGGCAGAAAGGGAGAGATATGAATCTGAAAGGGACTTGATAATGCAGCATTTAAGCCGCAAGCATAATGTCACTTATTGTTAAACGCATAAAACCACTTGGCCAAATGGTTGGGCTTTTAATAGGATTGTGTTTGTGTGTGTGTGTGTGTGTGTGTGTGTGTGTGTGTGTGTGTGTTTGCGTGCATGCGCTCGTACCATCAGGTGAGCAGCCATATGCTTTTCTTCTGTCTGGGAGTCTCTGAGCACCTGCTAGCACTGCTGCTTTGCCTCACAGCCCTCCAGGGACAGGCACTGGGAGCTTTTGTTGAAGTGGAGGGAGGAGATGGAGCCCGCCCCCCACTGCCACCCACAGCTGCCTGCTTCTTCTGCCTTGCTGGAGATGGGGGTGTGAGGGTGACTTCTGTGGGGCTCAGCTTGATCTCACTGGTATCTCCTGTTCAGGCACATTGTGGTCTGTGGACACATTACTCTGGAGAGTGTTTCCAACTTCCTGAAGGACTTCCTGCACAAGGACCGGGATGACGTCAATGTGGAGATCGTCTTTCTCCACAAGTAAGAGTCTGCTAGCAGACTGTGCCTCCAACTACATGCTCCCTGCCTGAGCACCCACAGCCATGGTGATGGGAGTAGGGACAGGGGGCAGAGATGGATCAGCCAAGAGCCCTGTTGGGCCTGGAGAATGTTACTCAATCAGTGGGAGGGGAATCATTACACACAGATAGGTCCCCTGGTGAACCGCAGAGCCTGCCTCCATGCAGGTGGTTCTGGGACCACATCTGAGTTTCTCTCAGGAAGAAATCACAGTGGGGTTCACTCTGGTTCCAACCTAGCATTCCAACCTAAGCAATGTGGCCCAGGTGTATGTGTGTACACCGGTGCAGAATAGTAGTCTGATGATGTGGAAGCACAGGTGTAGAAGGTGACCAAGCAAGACAGCTGCAGAGGAGGAAGTGGGGGATTAGGTCGTCACACTGCTGTTTCGGCTAGCCTCCGCCTGCACCCCTCTCCAGCACTGCACGCGGGCAGTCTCTAGAATCATCCGCAGACAGCGTCAGGTGCATCCTTCAGTCTGAGTCTTGCCTCAATCCATTGCCAGAGGATCAAGTTACTGCATTTTCTCTGTGCCTCCCCTTGCATACCCATAAATCAAGGAGATAAAAATGCCCCCTCCTTGGACTGTTGTGAGAGTGTAATGAAGCGATCCACGTATGGCAGGGAGGGCCCCATGGAGGTGAATACTATCATAAAAGGGAAGATGGGTTAAGAGTGCTCAGTCAGTCAGGAGGTGGGTGTCACATGCATTGTGTGGGGAGAAGAGTAAGAGACCTTCTCTCTATGCAACATGATGGATCCCGCTGTAGTTGATCCTCTTTTGGGGGACACAGGATTGAAGAAGATTTGGGGCCTCTATTATGCTGGCATGAGTGGTACCACAACTGTCTTCTTTGCTGGAGATGATGCTAAATAAAGCCATGCCTGGAACGTTGTCAAGGGGCCAGCATAAAGCACCTATGTTGGTGTTGGTTTGATAGGGTGTTGACCACCCTAAGACTCAGTCCTCCTCTGGAAGCCCCCAAGGTTAAAATACCACAAGCTCTCCGTTCCAGGGTGTATATGTTTTTTTCTGACATTTGTTCACAGACTGGCACACTTCTGACCTGCCACTGTGTTCTTCACCATATTCTGGGCAGATAGATTGAGCCCAGGCAACACAGGTGCAGGAACCCACAGGCTTTATTCAGTGCCTAGCTGCTGCTGACCAACTATGGGTGGGGACAGTGCTCTGTGGAGGGAATGTTCTAGAGATATGTAAAGCCTATAAGTTCTGCCTTCATCCTGCTGAACATTTCAACATGAGTACAGAGGCCACAAGAAGAGAATAGCATTGATCTTCTATTGAATAGTTAGTGAATGCTGAAGTCGGTTTAATCAAGTGACAGAACTCCAGCGGACATCTCTCTCAAAGACAGACTAGTGCTGCCCAAATTAACACAGGGATTGAAAGGATTGGTTGCTATTTGCACAGATAGCTGATCTTCACTACTGTTTAAATGGAGTGTAATAATTTGGCTTCTAATGCTTTATTTATTAAGGTTCATCTTTGTGTCCCTAAGACTCTTACCAGTGTCACACTTATAATAGTTGGTCCAATTAATCAACCTCTCAAAGCTCTGGGTAAATAGAATACCTTCCCATTGGGTTGTTATGAGGTGTAAATGAGTTAATAGTTGTCAAGGGTGTTGAATGCTGTCTACACATAAGAGACACTCATAAAAGTTATCAATGATTACAACACATGTTTGGGAAGTGATGCTGTAGTATAGTTGTTGGCACATCAAAGTTGTAACTGAATATCCTCTCGGGGTGCCCAATCCCATCTCTGTAGATGGCATGTGATTCTCATCTCTGCAAAATTAGTAAAGTCTACTCACATTGAAGGAGGGCCATCTGCTTTTCTGAGATTGCTGATTCCAGTTCTAGTTTCATCCAGAAAACGTCCCACAGGCACACTCAGAAATAATGCCTAGTGTGGCATCTTCTTGATATCCCAATCAAGTTGATACAAAATTATACATCACAGTGTTGCCACAGTGTTAACTCCTCCAATAAAAACAGACAGAAGACTTGGGCAATATTCCTGTACCTTCCATTGGCCCCTGCCTTGGTAAAGACCACAAACCTTGTGATTTCACCTCTACTAGATGTGTTTTTTAGTTAAAGCCCATATATTTGAAGGACAAGAACTTTTACCACATCATCCTGTGGAGACTGGAGAAAAGAGAGGCATGGAGGCTGAACTCCTGAGTCCGTTATCTTCATGGCTGTTTCTTTTTCTCCCCGTGCAGCATCTCCCCTAACCTGGAACTCGAGGCTCTGTTCAAACGACATTTTACTCAGGTGGAGTTTTATCAGGGTTCAGTCCTCAATCCACACGATCTTGCAAGAGTCAAGGTAAGAAGGAGGAGAACTGGAGGTTGGGGAGTGGGACTCTGCATTCTGGGGACATAACTTTCAGGATGGCCAAAAGCAATCTCCTGAACCTCTCACAAGATGACTCACATACCACCAGCTTTGACGTCACCCTTCTACTGTGCCCAGGACTTTGCTCTGCTGGTACATGCCAGGCCACCTACAAACATTCCAGTTAGACTACTCTTCACCTAAAGCTGATTTTGCTGGTTCCTGGACCTACCTAAGAGTCTTAATACAACATAGTAATCAATCAGTTCCCATCTTGAATATTGAGTTCGACTCAATATAGCTCCAACATTCATTCATCACGTCTGAAAGAAAAATTCGAGTAAAGGAAAAAAAAATCTTACGAAGCCATAGAACTTTGACTTTGAACTTTTTTTCTTCACTGAAGACTCAAGGCGCAACACTTAAGTTGTAGGTACCTGGCATCACTTGGTAATACGCTAATTGTTTTTCCCCAGAACCTACTCAATTAGCATCTTCTTCCAAAGTACCCCCAAAGCTTAGAAGGGACAGTGACATGGTGGCAAAATGGAATCTATTACTTTATGTCTTTCACATAGATTTTGTAAGCTTACTCAATATCCACATGCCAGTGGGAATTCTTTAATATGGCTGAAGCCACTGAAATTTAAATGCTAACTGTGGTCACCACATACTTCTATAAATACCATAATTGACAAGCATACATAATCCAAGAGGATCTGCATAAATTCTTTGCATTACTAAGGAAATCTACAGACAAGTTATGACATACCATGGAGGCACCATGCCCTCCCACCCAAGCAGGAGTGGTCTAGTAAGTACAACATACCAAGGAGACAGATTGCAGACCCAGGACACCATGAGAATTCTCATGCTTATTTAGACCGCTTAATCTTAATATTATCCAGACATGACCCAAGTTATGGTTAATGTGAAATCTTAGAAGAACAGAGAAAAGAGGGCCTTTTTTTTTTGGTTCGTGGACCTAATTTAATGCAAACAGTTATTACCCTATCAGATTCATGGGCCCCTCTAGGGTATAAACTCCTCTTGGTTCATGTTTAGATATGTCAGTAGGTTGAATTTTGAGTTCATCTGTAACGTACCGTTACGTATATGTAGGTCTGCTGTCTTTTGGATATCTGAATACTAAACAACACAGAGTTGTTACCCACTCTAGAACTCTAGTCTCTTCTCTAGTCTCTTCTTAGCCCATTGATGATGGCGGTGTAAAAAAAAAAAAAAGAGCTTAGGTGAATTCTTTGACGGCTAAATTTCTGAATCCCCAACTACTCAGTTAATTTGCTAATATGAGGGAAGTGACCTAGCCAACCAACATCCATTTTCTGGCTAGAAACTTAGTTTGATGGCACAGATGATTGAGAAATGAGGTGAGGAGGGAATTAAAAGGCTTAATGAATTGCATTTAAGGAACCTGGTAGTCCACATGTAAGTGGCTATGCCAAAGTCTAATTGCCAGCAAAGATAAGATGAAATGTTTATCCCTTAATGAGAACCTGTGGCGTACACTTTCCACAAAACTATAATCGTTTTGAATTTTTTCTTTTTCTTTTCTTGCACAAAACACCATGTTCTCTAAGAGATGACAATGGGCGTGGGGGGTACAGTTGAGTGTGGCTTCTTATATGCTTGTGTTCTGTGATTTTTGTTTTGTTTTGTTTTGTTTTGGTGTCTCAGATAGAGTCAGCAGATGCGTGCCTGATCCTTGCCAATAAGTACTGCGCTGACCCAGATGCTGAGGATGCCTCCAACATCATGAGGTAATTCTGGGGTTTTGGGTGCGGAGGACCCGAGTCTCAGCCCTCTGTGTCCCGCTTACAGCCCTTTGGGATGTGCATAGGAAGTTCACTAGCTTTGTGGGACCATTTTCCCCCCATCAGCTGCTCCACCATTGGTGCCCTCAAGATGTTTTCAGTTGCTATCACTAGGGGGCAGTCCTGCTGGTTTCTGGAGGAAGGGGAGCAGCTAACCATGCAAAGGGCAGGTACCACATAGAAAAGTATCTGGCCCAGAATTTCAACAGTGTTAGAGCAACCCTAACGTTTACAGGAGGTTGATTAGTATCACCCCCAAAGAGATGATTGGCCCTCAGTGTGTTTTAACCCATTTCCCCAAATGAGTGTTGTTCATTGAAAACATTTTCAGTGATTTTATTAACAAGGAATCTCAGAGACCTTGTACTATAGAGCGTTTCTTAAGCCTTTTTGGCTACAAACACCTACCTGTGTTTCTTTAGAGGTATAATCTCCTGTGGGAGGACCCTCTGTAAAGCATCTCCCAGAGCCTTTTCAAGACATGGCTAGCTCTTTCCTCTCTATCTTTAATCTTGGCTCCAATTCTAACACCATACTCTTTTCTCATTCCAGAAAAGCATTCATTCAATGGTTGTTCTTTCCACAGACCTATCTATAGTCACATCCCATGACTCTGAAATGCCTTAAAAAAATCAAGATGCTTTGCCTTTTTGGAATGTGTCTCTTCTCTTTTTTGGAATTGAGGAATAGCTGTTTGAGCAGGGTTAAAGAGACTCTTCTGGAGATGGGTGGAACTAGGAGAAGGCACTCATGCTGTATTCCCAGCCACTTGTGCTTAATTGCCAATAGCCACCCTTTGATCCACTCAAAGGTCCCCCTCTCCTGCAGTTTACTTCACTGTGTGTCCTAGATATCTACCTAAAGATGAAGATTGGGAAGTTTCCCAAGTGTCATTGTAACATTCTTATCTCCTTTGTGTCTGTTTTAAAGCAATGGCCCCAGGTGACATGATCTTTCTTATCAGTGATGCAGAGAAATTCTACTGGTGCATTTGGGATGAGCATCTCCCCTCTGGTCCTTGTGTCTGGCAGACAAGATCTGAAACAACCTTTACTTTTCTTTAGCTATAATAGGGCTTAGAGCAGTGTTTTAAGGAAGTCAGTGTATGAACTCTTACCAGGCTTGGGCTTTTGGGGCTATAAAATGGAATGAGAACTCACTTCTGACCTGGCCCTCCTGTAACTCAGCACAGCTGGAATGTGACTACTGGCCAAGTTCCGAGTGTCATTGATCCCTTTTTAAAATAAGTAGTATTTCCATCCTTTGACTTATTTTTTTCCTTGTTGTTTGCCACCATTTGAAGTAATGTAAAAAAGAAGTCTTTAAGGGACCAGGCTTCCTTATCTTTGCAATTTCAAACAAAACAAGCAAACAAACAAAAACCCAGAAAATGAAGATCATGATTTTGACCTCACAGGGAAGTTGATGATGATGGTTAATAATAAGAATAATGAAAGAAATAACAGTTTTGAACCCTGAATTATAATAGGGTTAATATAAACACAAATAAGTAAGAGAGAGAGTTACAGAATACCAAGGTGTAAAGATTATCCTTTAGAGGTAGTATCAGAAATATATTGAAGCCATTTAAATAGAAGTAGAACTAAGGCCTAAAATGCAATGGGAAGCCCAGGGTTAGAAATGGATTCTCTTTTTTTCCCTCTTATTTGTATATTCTCCCTTTCTCCTTAGCTTAATGAGGCCCAATCTGCCCCTTTTGAGATTAGATGTCAAAGAGCCAAGAGCTAAGGCAGCAAAGTGGCTGATGCTGTGAGTTGTACTGAGAGGTTGACAGAGGTTCAAAGTCTGTAAGTTATAAGCAGAGCCCAACACAACACTTTTTCAAAAACAAAATGAAATCCTTCAAGTGCAAAAGCCCAGAGTAGATTTGTACAGGGAAGGGCCCTTTCTTGATCCACTTCTTAAATTCACAAGTGACAGCTTTTCTGAGAAAGCTGTTTCTGGACTGCTATCTTCTCCATCTTTATACAGAAGGGGGCAAAGTGGTGGACCATGCTTGATAGGAATTTTGTGGGGGCAGTTGGGATAAATACACTTTTTGAAAAAAAATTGGCTTAGGAGGTGGGCCTTTCTGTGGAATTCTATTCTTTAGCCTTCCTTGTCACAGAAGGAAATGTACAATGTCACCTCTGACAGGGTCGGTAATAACAAAAACCATAACTTACAAGTGGAGAGAGCTTTTAATGATTTCAAAGCATTTTCACATCTGGTCCCCCATTTGCTCCTCATACCAAGCTTGTGAAGTAAATAAAGCAGGTACCATTGCCTGCCCCATGTCCAGATGAGGAAGAGGGAACAGAGAGCCCAGGGATTTCCTGAAGGTCACTGGTTCATTAACACAATAGCCAGAGTGGGGGCCAGGTGTTTCCATTCATTTTCTCCACATACTTCCCCTTTCAGCCCTGTGACTGACAGCAAGAGGACTCCTGGTAAGGAGTGGACTTAGAGTAGCTGTTGCCCAGAATGAACTGAGGGCAATGGCTGGGAATTATTCACAAGATTATGACTTGTGCAAGACACCGGCACTTGTGTCTCACCAACACTTGAGTCATTCTTTAACTGTGGAAAGCTGAGTCTTTCCAAATTATATTTTCAAAGTGAAGGTAGATGAGTGTGTGACAATTGGAACTGTTTGCTGGGAGGCTTATTTATTTTATCATTGTTGTCTCCAAGTTGTTAACTTGTAGAATGGGACTCATAGCAGATAGTTCTGGTTCCTGAGGTTTGGGACATGGGGCAGGCACCTCTGCAGACCTCAGGATTGGAGCTTGCTTGGTAAAGGCAGTGACCCTGCTACAGACTTCCCACCTTCAGTCTACACAGCTGGAGAGCCCATCATCCAGGCACCACAGGGCCCCTCGTGTTTTATAACACCCAGGGCATACACTACTGTCTTGTGATTTCTTTTAAGCATTATCAAAAGGCACAGTAGTAGTTACTCAGCTAACTTGGAGCAGTGGTTGCAGTCACTCTGGATGGTCCTGGCTGCTAGCCCTACCGTTTAAAGATTAATCAAGTAAATCCTCTTTGGGACTCACTCTGTTGGTAAGGAGAGGCTGCTCCAACTCTACTTTTCTCTTTTTTTTCAGAGTGATCTCCATAAAGAACTACCATCCGAAGATCAGAATCATCACTCAGATGCTGCAGTATCACAACAAGGTAGGATGATGGATTGTTATTCTGACACCAGTCTCTTCTCCTTTACACACACACACACACACACACACACACACACACACACACACACACCACACCACACCACACCACACCAGTGTTGAGCAAAGGCCTGGTAAAAACATAATGGTTAAAAAAAAATTCTCCCTGGGCCAAGTAACTTGTTTGCAATGGACCCCTGAGAGAAAAAAACCTTCACACTGTTCATTCATTCTGGAAGGACCTGAACACCTTGGTTCAAATGTTGATATATTCTTAGATTACATCCATACCTACATTCAAAAAACTTTCATTTCTATGTATGGCAGTCATTTCACCAAATAATATTTAGTGAATATTTACAGTACGATGAGCACCTACCTGACCCCCCACATGGCTGGGAGTGAAGCAAAAGTCTTTATTTTATGACTCAGAGACTCAGCAGGTAAGGTAGAGAGTGCTCCAGGCAAGTGTTGGGGCCTAGCTATGAGACCAGGTGAACTTGAAGTAGCGAAATGCAAGCCAAGTGATGAAAGCGGAACCTGACGTTTTCAAATTTGAAATGAGACTTTGAAGAGTTGAATTCAGGAACAGAGGTAGCTGTCCAAAGATTAAACACAGAGGAATGATCCTAATATTCGAGCCAACAATGGAGGTTGAGTGGAAGGAAGCACACCTCAGAGTGTATGTTATCTTCCTGTGACTGCTACTCAGTGAGCCAGTTGAATGTCTCTCATCCAAAGACAGTGTTCCTTCGCTCAGTCTGTCAGCAAGCTCCCTGGAAAACAGCTTTGGGGGAGGAAAGGTGGTGCCTTGCTCTATTTGATATGGTACCAGTTATCTCCTTAATGAAGCTTAGAAGCTGGAGGCTGCTCCGATACCTGGGGCCAGGTGTCCTGTCTGAACAGAATAACTCCCTGCTGGGTTATGAGTGAGAACATGCCTCATCTCATAGGCCATATCACCTAAGAAATAGGCAGTCAGGTGACCCAGAAAAAACTCCATTCTGCCAAATGCACCAGCACCATGCCGTTATTTCTTAATTGCTGGCAAGTGCTGGCCCATTTTGCTGTGTGGAAGCCCATCAGAGGCCATCATTGAGTGGAGCCTGCTGTCGGCAACTGGCCCACTGCTTGAAACTGGTGCCCAGTGCCCACCATCGCCCAACCCTCAGCAGGTGGCTCCACGCAGAGCATGTGCTTCTCCAGCCAGTGGGTTTGATGGTGGGCACCCAAGGTCATATTCCCTTGTTTGTCTATGGAATACTGGAGAGATAAAGCAAGGATATTGGTAACTTGCAGGTGTCAATCTGGAGAAGGGTTTTGACCGCAGTCCCTGTGGGAGGAGGTGAATTTTATTAGCCAAACTGTGGCTGGTGACAGCTCCTGCCTCAAGGAATACTCCTTCTTTCATTTGTTATTTGAAATTTCAGTTAGAGTAGGAGTGCTTTAAGCTGTTGTTTAGCTTTTTGTCTGGATTTAGACTGAATAGAAAAAATTAATGTTGTATGTTTAGAAAGGGATGTCAGTTCCTTTTTTTCTCTTTCCAGTGGGGCTGATGTAGCATCTTCAAGAAATTAACAATGATTTTCAGCTATGTAGTTCCTGTCAAACTCCAAGCAGCTCAACTAGCCTAAAGGTCCAGATGGTACCTGGTCACTAATCACATGAACACAGCATCCGGAATGTCTTGGCTGGCCCTCTGCATTGTAGAATTTTTTTTTCAGAAATGAAAAAGACATCAACAGACCTATGATTATTTGCTTAAAACACATCTTGTTTAGAACCATCCCAGACTATTTGGGTTTGGGGGGGTCAGGCAAAAATCAGATGCAGAATGCTATAAGATTAGTAAGGACACAGGGATAATTTTGACATAAAGGTGTTCCCCTCTATTATTTTGTCCCTCGGTTTTAGAGCAGGAATGAAAAGCACACCTGTTGTTATATGTCATGTCCTTCCTTGTAGAGTTTCAAGAGGACAGTGCTTCACTCTGTGTCACAGCTTTGCTCTGTTTCCTTATAGTCTCTACCTCCCTTTTCTCCAAGGTTTTCATCCTCTTTTCTTCCAATATCTTTTCATTTCTCTCTTGGCACCTTCTCTGCATCCATCCATCCATAGAGATGTCCATAGATCTATATGCATTTAAACTTGCTTAAATGGACAAAACGTGTGTGTGTGTGTGTGTGTGTGTGTGTGTGTGTGTGTGCATGTGTGAAACATTATGTTTCTAGGAACACATTCTAAAAGGCAGTTGATCCCATAATTGGACACAAAGCTTGAAACAGGAACAATGTCAATCTCCTATGATCTAATGGTGGTTGATATTCTAGATCCTAGGAGGATATAGGCAAAATGCCTCCTTGCTTTCCATAGAAACTGCTCCTGAAACTTTCATCATAGTAATTTATGTCCTATTTTATGGTTTTAAAAGAGCTTTGACATTGGAGATCTAATTTAGTTCTTGTTGGGCCATCTGTGCATTTTAGCATTCTTCTAGTGCAACTTCAGACCATCGGTCTGGCATGGACAGAGCAACTCTGATGAATACAGAAACCTGTCACTTGGCAGTTAGAGAGCTAGGACACAGTAGCCAATTGCCATCTCTTGAAATGTGGTTAAAGCCCCTTGAACCAAACTGTAGTTCTTAAGAGAGAAGGTGTGGTGTTCTCCAAAGCAAATCTCTCTAGTATTCTACATTTTATGGACAGAAGCAATTTCAGTCTGGTCATCTCTGAAAAGACAAAAGAAATGCTAATTGGAGTGAAATGCTTTGGAACTCTTCAGCAAAGAACAGCTAGTGACATCTTAGAAAAGTGTCACTCCTAATGGTCTACCAATGAATGGATTTCTTTTCCCTTCAGATTGGAGCAAAAGAGGACTTGGAAACTAAAGTGGCATTTTTCTCTAACTTGGAAGCCAAGTCCCAACTAATTGTCCAGTGCAATATAAGATCTTTGAGGTTTTTACCCACAAGGTGGGCAGTAGTTGTGCTAGTCAGTTGTAGTCACAACTACCTGAGATAATCAACTTATGAGACAAAGAAGTTCTTTTTGCTTACATGTTAGAAGTTTTAGTCCAAGATTAATTGGTGCTGCTCCTCAGCCCTAAGTGGTACGTCATGGTGGGAGAGTATAATGGATCAAAATTGCTTAGCTCAGAGAAAAAAGTAGGAGAGAAAAGACTGGTCTTCCAGCTATCCCCTTCAGGTCAAACCCCCAGTGACCTCAGGAGTGCCTGGTGGGCCTCACCCCTGAGAGGTTGCATCATCCTCAATAGCAGCAGCCTGGAGATCAAATTTGGATTACATGGTCTTTAAGGGGCCATTTAAGGATTTTAATGACAGCAGTGGTTTTCCTCTTGAGTGGCCTTCTTTATTCCTCCCGGTACGTCCCCAAGGTTGTATATGTGTTAAGAGGTGAGGCTGGACTTCATACCTGTTGGTTTCTCCTTGAGATGATGGGTGATCCAGTAGCAGAAATAGAGGGTGGTCCTGTTTGCAGGGACCCGCTCTTTGTCTCCTTCAAGTTAGAGAAGAAGTGTCTCCAGACTCCTTTGTGGTGATGTTGGCATTTCTCACCATCCCCAACTTCCTTCAAGCTTAAGAGGACAAAGTTGCCAGAAGTTAAAAAAAAAAAGTGTTTGAGTTAGTGGGTCAGCCTTTAGTATATCCGCCTCACTTTCTGCCCCATGATTGGAGCAAATATGATGGCTAAGAGAAAAGGCCACAGAAGCCTGAAGCACGCATGACTTTCATGTGTAATAACATGAAAAAAAATATGCCTAAAGAATTCCTACCAGATGGAGCCCTTGTGAGGGACCCACGGCTGAAATGCCTGGGCTTCATACCCTGGATGGCAGAGAGGGATTTCACAGGCTACCTGGAAAAACTTTTCCTTGTTTGTTGCAAGGCAGCATGAAGGTGATGTGGTATCTCTCCAGATTTCCTGTCCCACACATGTGCATGATTTGAGTGAAAACTTTTCCTCGTTCTTCTGAGATGATGTTGCTACACATGAGATCTTTCTTCCCATCAATTAATGTTTTCTATTATAAGGCCAGGAAAGTAAAGGCAAGACGTTGCCTTCTTAAGCCAGTGAAGCGTTGGGGAAGCAATGGGAGGAAGAGTGGGGTGAGCTGTCCTGAATGAGTGTAGGTGCTTGCCTCTGTAGGAATCACCACCTGCTCTGGCCTCCACACAGGCCTGAGTTAGCTGTATTCTTAACAGGGGGCATGCAGCCATCTTTTTGAGGAGTAACCATGGCTTCCTTAGGACTCACATGATTGTCCCAGAAGTAGAAGTGGCAAGAAGGGATTTCATAGCAGTGGTGTTTCTGCATGAAGAGCATGGAACCCTTGGGCTTGCTCTGTATTTCTGCAATGTAGTCTTTCACTCTACTGGTATAACTCACCCAGTTGCCCTGAAAGTAAAGGAAAGCCTCCTTCAGAATCCCTCATTTGCTGATTGGTAGAGAAGTCATTTCGGAGGTATAGAATCTTGGTTCAAGCAGGGACTCTGGGGTTCAGCATCCTATACAAATTAGGACTTTTTTTCTACAACAAGTTGGGGCAGTAATACTTTTAAACGATGAAGATCTTGTAGCTTTTGAGGCAGCCCTCTCCACTTATTAAAAAATACATCCTATGAAAGCCCTTTTATCAAGTAAGCCAAATGCCTGCTCTTTTGAATCAGTGAATCTGATTTCCAGCCACCAGAACAAAGCTAATCTGACCCAGCAGTACCTGAGGTATTCGGATGGAATTGCCCTGCCACTGTGAGGATGAGTGGCCTTTCTGTAGATGAGACAGTTCTGGCTCTCCTGATTGTTCCTCAGAAGCTCTATGCCACAATAGTCACTTCCTCTTGTCTCTGTCCTTTTCTTTTGGAAGTTGTTTGACTCATCATCTTCCCTCTTTAAATCTGATGGCTAAAACTGGAATTTGTCTGACCTGTTCACACACAATGAAACACTAATTTCTCTTGCTCTAGAGACAGTTTCTAACACGCAAACATTAGCTTTCTCTGTAATGTGTCACATGGATTCTATTTGAGGGTTTAGTTAGCCACATACTCTTATTTTCTCTCTCCCTCTCTCTGTGAATGTGTATTTGTTTTGTGTCTTCTGCCAAGTTAGATGTTCTCATTTCAAATTAATATAATTGATTAATATGAACCTAAATGCTAGACTTTTTTTGCTTTTTCACTAAATTTTTGTCCAAGTCCAGATAATCTTTTTGAATTTAGACTTCATTATTTCAGTGTATTATCTATGACTCTCCACTTAAAAGTAATTGTATCAGTTTACATCTGGGTCCATGTCTTGGGATCTGACTTAACTGTTTAAAAAGACCAGTCTGGTAACAAGTTTGACAAGAAATGTACTTATTACCTTATTTACATAATTGTAACCCCTCTGTATATCATCTTGACAATAAAAAAATGAAAAATTTAAAAAAAGAAAGAAAGATAAAAAGACCAGTCTGTCTGCAACAAATTGTAAGATGTATAGGATAGATTTCTTTTGATAATTTAGATTAGTGTTTCTTAAAATTGTGCCTCCCTCTCCCAAACCAGAAGCACCAGCCTCCTCACTGCATTACCTTGATGCCTCTGTGAACAAAATACCTAACAGAATAACTTAAAAGAGAGAAAATTAGCTGGGTGCTAGTGGCTCACATTTGCAATCTTACCTACTCAGCTCAGGATGCTGAGATCTGTGGATCACAGTTCAAAGCCAACCAGGGCAAGAAAGTGTATGAGACTCTTATCTCCAATTAAACACCAAAGACCTGAAAGTACAACTATGGCTAAAGTGGTAAAGCACTAGCCTTGAACAAAAGAAGCTCAGGTACAGAGCCCAGCCCAGGCCCTGAGGTAAAGTCTCAGGACTGGCACGTGCACGCGCATACTCACACACACACACACACACACACACACATACACACACACACACACACTCACAGAGGGAAAGATTCATTTTGACTCACAGTTTGAGAGGTGTCAGTCTGTCATTGTAGGAAGGGTATGGCAGAGGCAGAGCAGTTCACATTGTGGCAGCTGGGATTGAGAGAGAAGAATACAGAGCAAGGTTAGAGCTTAATAGAGGACATGCCTCTATGGACAGACTTTATCTGACTAGGACCCCCTTCCTACAATAAATCGTTTCATTCGGTCAGAGCCCTCATGTTCTAATTATCTCTTAAAATACCCTCTCAGACCATCTTCTAGGTGTTTCCTAATCAAGGTGACTATGAAGATGATCACACATAGAACAATGACTAATTCTCTAGCTCTCCTTATATCTTCAGAATGAGAAATCTGCAGTTTTATAAACTCTGCAGGTGATTCTAATGTGTACTCAGATTTTGGAGTCACTGAACCAGAGTACTGGGGAGGCAGGCAAGGAAGAAATCAAGGACACACAGGCTGCTGGCAGTCCTGGCCTATTTGAGGAGCCAATTTATGAACGAGCTAGCCAGACCTCCTAGTGGTAGTGTGAGTTGATGTGTCTACCACCAGAGCAAACCCCTCTAGGCCATTATATTTGGCTAATTGACAAACATGGGAGGGCTAAGGTTTAGTGGTACAGAGGCATTGTTGCAAAGAGACTGTGGTCTGCTGAACAGAGGTATAGAACAAAACACTAAGCACCAGATACAAGCAAGGGAAAGAAAGGAAAGGTCTGGATGACCCTCCCTACCTGGGTAATTGTATTTCCAAGAAGAGATTTGAAGCAATCAAGCATGTAACAAAGCAAGGTCTCATACCTGTGTTTGTTTCCACAGGCCCATCTGCTAAACATCCCGAGCTGGAATTGGAAAGAGGGTGATGATGCAATATGCCTTGCAGAGCTCAAGTTAGGTTTCATAGCCCAGAGCTGCCTGGCTCAAGGCCTCTCCACGATGCTCGCCAACCTCTTCTCCATGAGGTCATTCATAAAGGTAACGTCCTGTCTTATTAGAACACATTAGCCCAGGATTCCATTTGTCCTGGGGTTGAGTAGAGCGCAGCTTAAACTCAAAACAGATAGACAGGCTTTAACTACTTTGGTTAAGGAGAAATTCCTTGTTAGGGGTTTGGGCATGAGGCCAGCTCTTTTCAAAATTATGTTTTTATTTTTATTTGGCACATCCATGGCCATTAAATGATTGTTCAAAGCACAATCCTCTCTCCTTTTTTTTTTAGATAAACCACATGTTTATCTATCAACAAAGCCTCCGCTGTTAAAACAAAAATATGATTTATATACATTCCATATGGCACCAGAGTGCCTAAAGAAAAGAATTATCATTTTGCTCTTTTATATCAAGTGGCGGGTGGACCTCTCACTGTGTGGATAAATGCAGACCATGTGTTTGTGCTGAAGCCCAAACCCCAACAACATAATTCATTTATTTATTTCTGCACAATCAAGGAGGCCAGCAAGGCTGACATGCCATGGCTATTTAAATGGAGAGCGAAACAATGAGGGGAGCCGTTTACCCCTTGAGGCCTAGCAGTCTGGATGCATTCATCTCCTTCTCAGAGCTGCCTGGACAGCCACTCTCCAGCCCTCAAAGTAGCCCCTGCCTGGCGGACCAACTCGGGCCCAGAGAGAATAGACCAATTGTGTCCTCACAGGCCAAAAGAATCTGATCAAGAGTAGGATCCAGAACACTGTACTGAGGATTCGGCCTCTCCTGCTAAGAAGGCTTCTGGAGCGTGAAAGTCACTCCATTCCTTGTCCTTAGCTTGCTCTTAGCTTAGGCAAACTGAAACGCCAGTATGGTCAACCTTGCCAACTTTGGGACTGTCTTATTTATTAGCACTGGTGGCAATTGACTCCAGATCTGGGTTTACGTCTTCCTTCCTGTTCTGGAAGCAGTAGTATTAGGAGTGGTCAAAGTGGGAAATTAATAAACCAGCCGGGGAGGTCCCTGCACAAAGGGTCAGAAAGTCTGAAATTAAAAGTTGGAGACTTCCAGCCTTTTGCCGTCATGGCTGCTATATCCACTGCCAGAAAGTGGCCTTGGTTGGCTAAAGAAGGATGAGAATGAGAGGGACTATGTGTGAGCATGCTCACTCTATGTCTCTTGAGTTGTGCTGTGAAGAGCAGGGGTTTGCTGGGTCATTGCCCATTGTACCCATCTCATCGGTGTATATTTAACCAGTAGTTAACACGGCGCTACAAAAAGGAACAACTTGTGTTGGAGCCCCTTCAGTCACTTTAGCATGACTCCTAGTAATCGATATTTTGAGTTAAAACCTTTCTCTCCTCTGCTTATTATGCACCCTAAGTCTTCAGCTCGACAGAACTCAAGGCTCAACCCCATTTGGAAATAAGGACATTGCATTCCTTCACATGTCTTTTGAAATCCGTGCTGCCATTGTCCTGCCTGGATGCAAAATGGAAGCAGCAGGGAGGTCTGTGTGGCTTTGTTTAGAAACAGGCCTCAAAGCCAGATGTAGCCAGATGCAGAGTCCCAGAACTCTTCTCTTCCATGTAAGAAGCCCAGACCCAGGATAAAGGGCTGTCACCAGAAGAACTCCTCTGGCTCCTTCCACCAAGCTCTGGCAGTTTTCTTCGAGTAGGGGACTGCGCTCAGGACCAGGCACCTGGTCTGAGTTGCTGGGCTCTGCTTCCTTGTGTTGATGTGACATGGGTCTTGGCAGAGCCCCATCACAGATGGGGCCACTTGACATGCGTATGTTTTGATTTTGTGGTGCCTTCATGGTAACTAGAGCTGCCTGTCAGGAAAATTAATAAAATGGATGTGATGCTGTTATTACCAGCAGGGAGAGCTTCGGCCCAACTTTCCCCAGGACCCTAATGGGCCTCACCTCTAAAGCCAAGGACATCCCCTCCCGCTCGGCTAATCCCATTGCCAAGTTCCTATTCAGGAAGAGCCTGTGGGAAAGGCGGGACCCCACCCTGGTATAACTGAAAACACATTTCCCTCCCAGGGTTAAGTTACTGCAGTATTTTTTTTTTTTGTCTGGGGGCTGACTCCCCCGTGTTTGGGAGTAGCTGTCTGAATATTGCCATTTGACATTGAGATAGTGTCTGTGTTGCAATTCACAAAGGGGCATGACCTGAAAATAACAAGGCTCCCCTTCCTCTAGTTCTCATTTAGAGTAATAAGCACTACTTTCTTCATCCATTCCCATTCTGTCCTGTCCTCCTCTTGTACTTACTCTCCAGGCCCCTGGCACTTGTCTCTTTTAGGATATAGTAGTGAAGAGCACAATGTTCTCTTTGGAGTGTTTTACCTATTACATTTACATTTTACATAAACTTTTTTTTTAGTGTATCCTGTGTTATCCATTCTGGAGATCACAAAGGCCTGGCTTTCCTTTGTTTGGGGATGGGAGCAGGTGGAGAAAGAAATCTGTAAAAGAATTGTTGTTTACAGAAATTGCTTCCTTCCCCAATGACCCAGTATCCTCCCAGTGGAGAAATTATCAGTATTTCCTTGGAGACAGTCTATATGGATGGAGATAGAAGGGAGGAGCCTTGGCAGCCCTTAATCCTTTGGGAACACTTAGCATTTCTGGAAGCCAAAGGTCAAGTGTGAGCTCACCTTCTCCTTTGCCCTGAGCTTACAAGATCTCCTTCTTTGTTCTGCAGTATATATTATAGTCTACCACTGCTCAAAGAAAGAGAATCAAGACAAACTGTAGTATATCACAGGCAGAAGCATTGTGGGCAGCCAATGGGCCTGTATTGGACATGGAACTGAAAGGGCATGACCAAAGGTAATAAGGTTGAACAAAAAAGAAAGGGAGCCCTGGAATATAGGAATTACAAAATAGACCTAGCGTAGCAGTACCCAGAAATACACCAGAATATATATTTAATACCTCACCCATGTCATTTGCAGAGATTAACCATAAAGACCTAAGGCATTGCCCTCTAAAACCTAGTTCTTGTTTTGATATGTTATTTCTGAATTGATGTAAACATGTAGGGATTCGATTTATATTTGTAACTCATTTCTTAAGGTGTTAGGAACTCTTCTCCCCCCTCTTTCTTTCTTTCTTTCTTTCCTCCTTCCTTCCTTCCTTCCTTCCCCTCTCTCTCTCTCTCTCTCTCTCTCTCTTGGTATATGTGCTGGTGCTAGGGTCTGAGCTCAAGGCTTTCTCTCTCAAGGCTGATACTCTGCCACTTGAGCCACAGCTCCACTTCTGGCTTTTTGGTGGTTAATTGGATAGAAGACCCTCACAGATTTTCCTGCCTGGGCTGACTTTGAACCAGGATCCTCAGATCCAGCCTTTTAAATCACTAGGATTACAAGCATGAGCTACCGGTGTCCAGAAGGGTGATTAACTCTTACCATTGCTTTTCATTTCACATTTTGAAAATTCCAGTGTAGCCCATTTAAATAGTTCCCAGAATTGCTATCCATTTTAATTTTGCTAATCTCTCATTTCTTATACATACAAACACACTAACACATGTGCACATATTTGTGCACACCCTCAAATTTAGCATGCAGTCTACAGTTACTTCTCTCTTAAATAAGACAGTTATGGAGAATGGAGAAAAAGTGTTCCATGTTTTTTGTGTTTTTCCCCCCTGTTCAAGATTTGGACAGAGTGAAATGTTGCTTACCAACCACAGGCCTGGGTATCTGTCATTTTCTACGTCTGACTAAGGAAGCTCTGTGGGAGTCTGGCCCTGGCCTTTCACATCATAGATTGACTGAAGTGTTCATGGCTGGGCCCACAAATGATTTGTTCATTATTTTGGTTACTGTTGTATGATAACCATTCAACAATACATAGTCCTTACACAAATGGTAGCTAAGGGAATCATTTCATTTCTTTTTTTCTTTTTCCTTTTTTTTTTTTTTTAGCCAGAAATTCATTTTGCTTGCTAGGCTAGGCTTGAATTCTTAGGCCCAAGGAATCCTCCTCAGTTTCCCAAGTAGTTGAAAACACAAGCAATGTGCTACCATGCTTAGTTAAAAGAATCCTTTTAAATATCCTTAGTTTGGGTTGTATTCATGCATATATGTACACGTACATGTATAAATAAAAACAACCTGGATTATAAGCCAAAAATGTAAATCAAGAGCCTTTAGTAATTTCTAAAATATACTGAATCCTATGTGCAAAGCCTTATATTTAATGATATACATATGTAGATAAATAAACATGTAAAGATATGCATATGTATAGATTATGTGTGTTTATATGTGTATGTGTATACACACATGTGTGTGTGATTGTGATTGCAGCCTGCATGAGGCTGCATGTAGCTTGCAGTTGGCCATTCAAAATGTTCAAATGCAAACAGACTGGTGCCAGATTTGTCCTTGAGTCTCCTAAGAGGAAATACATGATAAGAGGAATGCTTATCATTGTAGTGCAAGTCTTATTCTTCTGGAACTGACTTTATGGAAACCATCAGCTCAATAGAGATAGTTCAATAGGCATCTACTGGATTTCAGACAGTGTACTCTTCACTCAAACATGCTGGAGCCACCAGGAAGCTTCAGGAAGCTTCTGTTCTGCCTGGGATGTGCAGGCCCATGTGTGCACAGCTCTATCCTGTGGCTTTTGTTCATCTTTCTCTGTAAGAACAGAGGTCACTGCATGGTCACAGGTAAGGAGATAGCTGAGTCTAGGCTGAGACAAGATAAGGACTAAATCAGGCTCAAAAGGTTGGTGGCTTAGGTCAATGTTCCTGGAAAACAGAACCAATTGGATGTGCATGTGTGTGTATGTGGTGTGTGTGTGTGCGTGTGTCCATTAATGAAACACTGCATATACAACAGCAGTCCCATAGATTATATTGCCTACTATTGTTATGGTGATGGATAAACATACACTATGATGTTCATACATGCATTCTAACAATGCATTTCACTCAAAGTATCCTTATGATTAAGTGATGTATGATTGTAAATGTGTATATCTACATCTATATATTTAATAGCTGAGCAAGTATAAAGAATTG